AGGTTTATTGTCAAATATTGAATCCTGAAGGTTTATTGTCAAATATTTAGCAAACAAGCTTCAAAATATTGAAATAAACCTTTTTTAAAATTATTTTTTTTTAGCTATTTAACTGTTATTTTAAAATCATAGCATCCTGTTATCTTTAAAACCTCTCAGCTGGTTCCCACCTGAGAAAAACTTAGTGGGCTGAGCACAATATATAACATATGTCTGTCATATGTTAACAGGTGATTATTCTTCTCCTTTATTGCTTTGTTTAAATTCTACTTGAGATTTGTAACAGGTAAAAACGTGCTTTTTTTTTGGTGAAGTTATATTTTTTATTCAACTAGAATTTAATTATAACATTTTACCTTCAAATAACTTGGAATAATCCTCGTGGTAGAGTCACTTTGTCAACACAGAAATGAAGATAAACTGTTCAGGCAGACTGGACACTGCAGGATATACTGAGGCACAAAGCTTGTGGTCCCAGGTAAAGACAGCACTTATGGATATGAACATGTCCAGCTTTTTGTGGAATTCCCAAGTGGCTTGGGAATCCCATTTTTGTCCTTGCTGTTGGGACACAAAATTACCTCAAAACTCACATATTTTTCGAGCTGTTGCTGCAATTCCTCAGCTCTCCTCTGTCAGGCCTCTCTGCAGAGCACATGGCCAGGCCATTTATATGCTTTAACTATTCCTGTGTTCTGGAATGGCATTTGTGGATTATTGGCAGTGTTAGGCCAGAGCAGCTCTTCAGTTACACTCCTGCTGCACTTCCACAAACACTTTAAGCCAGCATAAGCCAGAGATGCTGCCCTGCCCTGCACAAATGTTCCTGCAGCTGCACATTGAGCTGATGGGGGAACTGATTTGGGTTCAAACCAGCCCAGAGAACAACCCAAACCAAAACATGAGCTTGAAATCCCTTTCTGAGCTCTCCTCCTTCCCAACCTCACCAATATTTCTGCTGCCTTAAAGCTCAGCACCTTCCCGGGGTTAAGACCACGACAAGTGTGTGAAGGAAACCAGGAGCTGCTTTTTTTTGGTGTTCAAGGGCTTGTGGAACTGCAGTTTAAACTGTGGCTCCTTGCTAAACAGCCAGATATTCTAAAAGAGGATTAATGGTCATAATTTGAAGCCCTGACTCCCAAGGCACACCTTGGATAGGGCCCAGGGTGTGGGCTTGGACTCATTTTGTCTCTCACACCTGCCTGCCTTGAACCATTTTGCTCTGAATAAACCTCAAGTTGTATCTTCTGCGATCCAAACTGAGCAAAACACGTTTCCACACCCACTGAAATAGTTCTCTCTCCTCTCACAGCAGATATTTTCTGGTTTAGGCAGTTCCACTCAGTATTTGTGCAACGAAACAATTGGAGGAAAATACAGGACCTGGGTGAATTGTGCTTGTCACTGTTACAACCTGACACTCTGAGTCGCTCATCCCTTTCCTCCAAAACTTTACTAAAATAATCCATGAGTTTCATAAGTGGTTTTTCTTTGGATTACAAAGAATTGCAGAGTTTCACTCACCCGAAATTACATTTATTGTGTTGTTGGACATCAGAATAAAGTTACATATCGTAGTGAGTTGCATCAACTCCTTTTGTTAGATTTCCAGGCCTTACATAGCACTGTGCTGCTTGAAATTTTTGAGACAATTTCAGCTACTTCAATAAAATTAAATGCCTTTTTTTTGAGGCAAATTGCCCTTAATTTAAGTAATCTTGTAGTACAATGCAAACAGTAGTTACAGTGGGTTTTTTTCCCCCTGTTTTTCCTGCCAAATTGAATGCATTATGTACAGGAGTTCTTAATTTAGGTCCCAATCTCTTCCAGCTGCATCCTCTCTTTGGAGTTGCTGCCAGGTGAGCAGAATGAACCCCTTTTTCCAGGGAACAGGCAGTTTGTGGGCGTGGGCAGGAAAAGGAGCATCACCCCCCTGACTGGGGGCTTTGTTTGGGTGATTTTTTAACAGCTCACACCTGCTCAAAACCCAGGACAGGACGTTCCTTTGAGTTGCTTCCAGTGCCTGCAAAGCCTCCACCAAACCACCAATTCCTTCAGCTGATATTGAAGAATTGAAGAACTAATTGAAGAATTAATTGAGGAATTAATTGAAGAATTAACTCCTGCACCCTGCAAAGCAAAATTCAGGTATGTGGTTTGCTTTGTGTCATTTAGGAGACACGGGAAAGATCAAGGACTAATTAAAGAGGTTGGCTGCCAGTTCTGTTTCAACTGTAAGTTTTCTCCTCAGCAGTAACTAGGACACTGTGTTATAAAAATAATCTCACAAAATTCCACGGTGGAATGTTAGTAAGCTCTTAAGGTGTGCCCCAGGTTATTGCTGTTTGTGTGTCAGTCACTGGTTTATTTCTAATTTCACTTCAGCTTTGAGAAGCCAAACTAATTCTGATGTTTTCTTAAATATCCTGTGTGTGAGATCAACAGTAGTGGAGAGATTTTTTTAGTCTTTAGGAACCACAGGATCGTTTAGGTCAGAAAAGTTCCTCTGAGATCATCAAGTCCAACCATCCCTCAGCACTGACCCCTGTCCCCAAGTGCCACATCCACAGGGCTCTGGAATCCCTCCAGGGAGGGGAATCCAGCCCTGCCCTGAAAATGTTGGAAAGGAAGTTTTCTTGGACTGTGTGGATTTCCAACCCGTTCTGACTGTTCAAGAGTTTCGCCTTTTTTTACTAAGAGTTTGCAACCCAATAGTTGCTTTTTTGGTTAAAAAAGTCAAACAAATCATTGATGAATTTACAGGTGCAAGTTGTTAAAATTTAAAAAAAAAAACAAAAAACCCCCAAATACCCAACCAACAAACCAACCAAAGAAAAAAAAATTAAAAAATAGGAAAAGAATAATTAAGAGTTTATCTAAAATTATCTGGAAGGCTGCTGCTGAAAAAGCAGTTCAGCAGACTTTGAGATAATACAGATTATTATTCCAACTTTTTATTTCTTAGCCCTTTGTATCTTTGTCTAGACTCTCCCCCACCTTTATAGCATTTATTGTTGTCCTTAAAAGTGAGATCTTTAAATAAGAGTAGAGTAAAACCATTGACTGTCCCAGCTAAATACTTAAAACACGATTTAAAACTGAAGCTCCCTAATCTGAATCCATTCAAAAAATCCACTTAAATTCCAGAATAGAGTATTTCCCACTGAGAGAGTTGAGTGAACTGAAAGGTCTCTGATTCTCTGAAGGGAGGAGTGAGATGGAACAGAACCTGTTAGTCTGGACCTGCCAACCCAGATCCTGAGTGTGGAAGCACAACCCCCTCCATAATGGTGCTCCTTTGACCAGGGGGAAAAGTGAAGCCAAAATTTAAAATCTGATCCACTGAAATTCAGATCATTGTTTTTTTCTGGTATTTCCATTTAAAGGAAATTTCTTAAAACCCCCAAATTTAAATCCAGATTAATTTCAGTTCTTTTCCAGTGTAGAAATGTTCAGGAGGATGGCAAAGCAACGAGCTGCAGTTTGGAATTCCTTTAGAGCACAAGGAATGATTATTATCTTTAAAGCAAAGGCAGAGTGTTTTTATTTTAATTCGTGAAGTTGTGTGAGACAAACCCTGGCTGCTTAAATTATTTCGTGCTGTAGCTCTTAATTATCAGAAGCTACACTTTAATGAGAAGTTCCTACAACCTGAGAGGCACTGAATGCTTATAAAATAGCAGGGTGTTAAAAATGAGGCACCTCTTTCCCAGTGCAGGGGTCAGGCTGGGATTCAAGTGCTGCTTGGAAGCCATACACGAAATTAAATGCTAATATTGGGTTTTTTTAGAACATTCTCGATGTCCCAGTGATGTCTGTCACAGGAATTGCTCTCTGATATGTTGTGATCTGGAGCTACTGAGTTCTGCCCCCTTTTTTTTGCACCCTGAGCTTTTCTGTGTCTGTCATTCACCACCCACCTCTCTGGCTGGTGTGTCGTGAGTCGCTGTTGATCTGCTTTGCTTCCCCCAAAAGGATCCTTTATTCTGGTGTTCCCAGAGCTGGCATTTTATCCCTGGAATTAATATCTCCAAATGATACAAACTTTGCTGCTTGGAAAGGCAGAATTTTTCAACAGGAGACTTGGCAGGGGACGTGTTAGAGCTGCTCTTAACAGTTTAATTAATGCCGTGTTATGTATGCACAGTTTTTTGGTGTTTTGTTTTTTTTTTTTTTTTTTTTTTAGCAGATACTATTTGGAAACACTGCTTGATATATAGAATGAAAAAAGTGTGCACACTCCCTGAGTGATGCACGTTGTTGTGGCTGTGAACTCTGTACGTTTGTAATGTGAAATTTGCCAAAGTTAATGTGTTGAAAAGTAACAAGTTACTTAAGTTAGTTAAATGTCTCTTCCTGGAGGAAAAAATTACCATAATGGTTACTTTTACTAAAATGCAATTACTGTCATTGGAACAATCAATCATATTTTCTGGTGGAAGGAACTTTGCCTAGTTTTTGAGTGCATTAAAATGTAGGATTTCTCTGCTCTGTGTTCAGAGGAGCTGCACAGGCAACAAACTTCTGGGGAGAATCAACTGGAAGTTCTGCTCCTATGGTTTATTTCTCATGATATTCCAAAACAAACTTCTTCAAGTGGGTTGTAAAACACCAACCAGAGCATTATAAACTCTGAAAGGCTTTCAAAATATTTGAGAGGGGTTTTGTTGCAGCTGAGCTTGATTAAAGCCCCAAGCAACAAGTTCCCATCTGCATTTCCCACTCAGCTGCCAGGACCTGGGAGGTTCTGCCTGGAAATCTGGGGGACAGACCTTAAAGATCATCCTGTTCCAGGGACACTTTCCCCTAGTCCAGGATAACACTCAAACATATTTTCATGGTATTTTTATAGGGATTTTCTTCCTTGCACAAAATACTTTTGTCCTCAAAGAAGATTTCTACCTAAAGTCTCAGAGATGAGAAATAATAAGATGTCCTGTGAACATCTGAATTATTTTTTCAGGCAGTATCAATCATTACCTTGTAGAAATACAATCTGAACTGTCCACCCCTCACTTGAGGCACAATTAATAATCTCCTGAGGGTTCTGAAGTTTAGCTGACTTGTTCTGAGGCAGTGAACCCCAAAAGGACGTTTATGGTTTCATTTTTTACGTCTGTCTTTATATGGAAACAAAAATAGCGTCTTCATGGCAAAACAACAGCTCCAACCTGCCCCAGAAGTGCTCTCACACTTTGAGATTCACGTTCATATATGACCCTGCTGTGCTAAATACATTATCACAAACACAAACATTCCATAGATCCCCAGTTTTTGTTGGGATTGTGGTAAATTTAACTTGCAGAAAGTGATTACACACACCACTGACAACACTCATATTTAGGCAATCTTCTGTTGAAAATATGACTGTTATTGGAATTTCAGTGATAGTAGCTCGGTGAATTAGTGCTGCAAGTGTATTTTCAATATTTATTTCTGTGCGTGCTTTCCAAGCTCTCTTCACCACAAGAGAGAAATGATCTGTGATTTAAACCACAGGATTTTCTTGTAAGTTCATTAAGGCGTCGCATTTTGTGCATTAAAATATACCTTTTGGTTTTAAATTTTACCTCTTTATATGAAAGAGTGTTCTGGCTGGTGTTCTGCTGGACTTTGGAGAGATCCCTTCTACAAAAATGACCTTTTACTGACAATGCTCTACTTCCCATTTCACTGTTTTGGGTCACATGATAACATGAAAAACCCTAAAATTCCACCAAAGGCCAAATTATTCTGTTCCAAGCCCACTGAGAGACTTTTCACTAGATTAGGACATATTGTACATCCTCTTGTTTAGCAAATTCTTCTTGCTAATGAATATCTCCTTATCACATTTTCTATTAAACATCTTTAGATTAATATATATATTTTTTCTGGAATGATCCCCTATTAATAACCTCACCCGAGTCGTCCTGTTAGGATTACCCTGCATTGTTCCCATCTTGCAATACATCCCTGGAAAGGATAATTACTGCAGTGATATAATCACAGGAGTGATAATATTGTCCTGATGTTAGAAATGGAGGTTAATACAACTGATGTTCTAATTAGAATTCCAAGGCCTGGAATTGGCACGGGGTTGATTTCCTTGGCTCGCGGCCTAATCTTGTTATGTTGTTTTGAACTATGAAGAGAGTGGGTTTAAAGATCTCCAGCAGAGCAAATGGGATGAGGGAGTTCTAAAGAGCTTAAAGAATCACAAAAGTGTAACTCCTCCAGAGCAAACCAGGTAATAAACCTTATTTTCATTGGTTTTAATGCTTAAAAAACTGGGCCTGAGAAAACAATTGCAGTTTTTGGGGGTGTCAAACAGAGCGAGTCCAAGCCTTGTAGGGTTTGTGTTGCTACATGTGCTACTACTCTCTAATTGTGCAGCAATAGGTAGGTGTAAACCACTAATAATATGTGACATTTTTATTTTTTAAAGTGCTTTTAGGCTTGAAATACTTAAAAAAACCCACTTAATTCTGGCAAATATATGTGACATAATGTTATGTAGCCTCTATAGGTCTTTTAGTAAGACTGGTCAGAGCATTAATTTCCAAGAGTTCTAAGGGATTTGTATCAAACTTTGGTTTTGGTTGACTGATGGAACAGAGAATTCAGACATTTTAGTCTTTTGTTTGTTTGTTTTGTCTCTTTGATGAAATTCTGCTGCCCCGATAGACAATAAAATAATATCTATAAAATAAAACAGAGGGAAAGAAATCTTAGCAAAGGCTTTTATGAAATCTAGTCCAGAACTTCTTTGAACACCAGAAATTTTGGTCTTGTGAGTTATCCAATTTCTGCATAACGTGTAAACCATAAATAATATGTTACATTTTTATTTTTTAAAGTGGTTTTAGGCTTGAAATACTAAAAAGTCACTTTATTCTGGCAAATATATGTGACATAATATTATGCAGCCTCTCTAGCTCTTCTTAGTAAGACTGGTCAGAGCATTAATTTCATGAGTTCTAAGGGATTTGTATCAAACTTTGGTTTTGGTTGACTGATGGAACAGGGAATTCAGACATTTTAGTCTTTTATTTGTTTTGTTTCTTTGATAAAATTCTGCTGCCCCTGATATACCACAAAACAGTATCTATAAAATAAAACAGAGATAAAGAAATCTTAACCAAGGGCTTCATGAAATCTAGTCCAGG